GGGATTATGGTGACTGTTGGGAAAAGTTAGTACGGTGCTGATGTGGGGTGTTGAAGTGCATCTAAGAAGGTCTCTTCCACTAATGATGCCATTCTGAGCCCTCTACAATCGAAGAGGAAGGCTGTCCTGGCTTCAGTCTGCACCGCTTTACACATACTATCGTTTGAAGGGATCACGACTGTAGGGCTAGAAAAGAAATGTTGATCGTTATTACTTCAGTGGTATCGATTATATTCGTGCGATGAACTGGTTGAAGGGAATGCTAGCGCTGTTTGGTTTGGAGGGGACATTTTGCACTTCCGCTAATTCATCTTGTTAGTTCATGCTAACCGAAAAGTCTTACTTTGGTCGGACCTCTGAAGCTGCGAAATTGTACAAGTGAGCCACATTCACGGGAATTTACAGGTTTTCACTATGTGGCGCCGTACAATAGTACCATCTGGTGCCCCCACCAAGCCGAACTGCGCCAAAATTTTTGCAGTGTATGTTCTCATAGCTGAATTTTTGCAAGTATCCAGTGAGTGTGGCTTGCTCCAGAGGCCTATGATAGCTAAGGATATCGATTGGTGGGTATTGATCATGGACATCAATACTCGCTTGGTGGTGGTCTTGCCGGTTGCTACGGCGCGTCTTGAAAGATGTCAAAGACCTAATAAAACATTTTCAATCAATCGCGAGAGAACGGTGTGAGTCGGTGCGAAAGGATATCTAGGCCATGCGCATTTAGATTAGCACCATGACAATAGAAAAAAGTCGTCACAAAATCGAATTAAAACAACCACAGCTAAGAGCCTTCAACACCTGGAAGAACGTTTTTGGAGCCCTTTCTCTGACTAAAGTGGCCCAAATGGGGGAGACTAAACTGAACAGTAAGGTGTAGGGAGAATAGGAGAAGTGAGAAAAGGAAGTGAAATGGCAGAATTGGTTTCCGGCGCAGTTCGGCTTGGTGGGGTCACCGAATTGTATAAAACTTGTAGTGGCTACCTTGTGAGGAACTGCAATTTCTCTGGCCAAAGCGGCTCCCTATGAAAGGTCCGACCAAGTGAGTCCTGTTAGTTGTAGGACCAATGAAAGAAATCAGCGATGCAAATGGCCTCCTCCAAGCCAAAAACGCCCTTGTTTCTCTTATAAAATACGCCCTTGTTTCTCTTATAAATATCACTCCGACCGGAAACTCCTCGTGTTCCCCTCGAAGCGAAGGCAGTGGGTACATTCCAGTCACTAGGAACGCCCGTGTTACATTTTTATAGAGTGGGTACGCCGAAACCAACGAAGAGTTCGATGACCGATTTTTCATGGAAGGACTGCCTGGCGGTGGGGAAGGGAAGTGGGAGAGGGGGAAGGAGACGAAAAGCAGCTTCTGCGTTCAAAAGTTTCTATCTTCATAATAAAAGTAAAGCGAGCGGAATGTTGCTTAATGTCCGCTTCATTTCTGTCTATTTTGGAGATTTGTCTCCGAAGAACACTTTTGTACGAAATATTTGTACGAAAATGTGTGATTCCAGCGATTCCGGATGGAGACACCTGCCTATCCCAAGGAACCCGTGAACATGGTGAATGTCGCTGTAATCCTCATTTCTATGGAGAATACTGTCAGTATAGAGGTGAGTGCGTGTTATCCACACCTTTTTCCAGGTTTTGAGGCCAACGACGTTCGCCTCGGATGACGCCTCGGAGGAAACTGGTGCTAAAAGGCGGCAAACGTGTTATCGCATTAGATCAGCGCCCGATCTTCAATGAGCTAGTCTGCTGCGGTTGACAGCAACATCAACGGGGGAAAGAACCAAACATGATTTCGAGGGTGGGGGGTTCGTCGATGAAAACATGGTGGTCGCGTGTCGCTATCTGCACTTAGGATCTTTTCCTGTTCTCTTGACCCCTTCTCGTCTCAGAACTTTCTTACCACAAATGGCTCTCGAATATGAATGCTAATTCTACTGGAAAACACTTGACCCTAATCAAGTATCGCATCTGGGTCCACCTGCTTATCGAGCAAGCATCGTGCACGAGGGTGAATATCTTTCGACTGGTTAGGGTGGGCGTAGATAGGACTCTCCTTCACCCTTTGTAGACCCACTCTATGGGGCTGCATGGAAAGTGACTGAAACGGCAAATACGAACGATATGGCTCGACTCTTGCTGTAATAAATAAAAAAACGCTGGCGCCGCGCCAAGCCCGACCTCCCCCCCTCCTGACATGCTCTCAGCGGACAAGATTGTTATTGCTGAAAAAAAGCACCAAAAGTTGGCATGCAGAGGGGCCCCTATCTAATCTGATAATTGTGAAGGAAGAAGCTGGTCAGTTGTAAAGTAAATGTGTTCAAGCTGACTGCTCAAACAACGACAACTGCGGTGTGAACGGGCTTTGTGAGACGTCACCCATCGATGGCGCTAAGCAATGCTTTTGCGCAGGTGGACGTTATGGAGATCAGTGCGAGAAAGGTTCGTTATCTTTTACAGTCCCTTTTTGAAATTTTTTTCGGCCGAAAAAACCCCTAAATTTCAGAAAGCCTCAGCTATCAAGTACAGCTCTGAGTTTGACGAATCACTCTACAATATGAAAGAAGTGGAAAATAACAAAATATTCTGGCGAATTCTCAACGTAAGATTTTTTCAGAATACACCTCTTTGAGCATCTTCGCAGCATATCTTGTTTAGGACGAAATCGAAGTGGTTCTACGGTATCCCGGCGAGTCATGGGCGGCTATTGGATGGAAGCCACAGGATGCACAATGTTCTCAAATTGCCGACCAATTTAAGCAACCGTCAAGTGAGTTCGATGCTGCGTTCCCAACCGTATTGTACTTCTTTTGATTACTGTATTTTTTCAGCTACAGTATCGACAAGTACCCATACCCTGCACAAGGTCGAGATAAAGCCACCCGAAGCGCGTCCCGTAACGACGACTACTGGGACTACGACTCGAATCACGACCAGGCCGTCTACCTCCACCACCTCCACTACCTCCTTCAGGACCACCATCACTACCACCACTGCCATTTCATCTAATGAGACGAGCAGTAAGTCCAACATATGTATCTTCTCTGCGCCTGAGCTTCAGCGGTCTTTTCAGGCGAAGACTGCGGCCCAAATGAGCAATGGTCATCATGTCCCGAAATGTCACGGGATTGCGAACCTTCGTGTGATTGGACACGATTCCCGGAGACCATTCCAAATTGTCCACGATCGTGTGGGAGTGCCCGATGTGTCTGCAAGGTATTACAGTTTTTCTTGCTCGCCATGGCTAGGGAATCTTAATTGTGAGTGCTTCAGGAAGGCTTTGTGCGAATGACTAACGACGAGGAGGCTTGCGTACCATTTGATTTCTGCGACAAGGAGGTAAGCGTACAAAGAGCGTCCTGTTAGAAGAACAGGTAGCCCTTAACTGGTTCTTGGGGTTTAGAAATCTTTACAAAAGTTGCGTTTATCGGAAGTTCCTCAAAGAGGGTGGCTTAACCCCTGTATGAGGGCATCACCCGGTCTGGCTCAAAAAGCTTCAGGCGCTAGCGCCAAATTTTCGGCGGATCATCGTTCTATCTCCTCTCATCGGTATATGATTGTGATATTTTCATGCGAAGTGATTCTGGTTCCTACCCAAGGATCAAGCTACCGCTGAAGACAATTATTAACCCAGAGGGGTTCCTGAGCAGTTATGGGTAAAGGTGGAACGAAGGTGATATAGTGGAAGTGGCACCATTATCACGCGCTCGGTTCCGAGGTCATCTACTGGATAGACTACTGCTCAGACCAATCAAGCCTTCTACCCTCCGAGAACCTTAAATTGGCATCAGATTCGTCTGGAGGCATAAATGAGTTACAGTCCTCATCATTGCGGACCGGTGGGGCGTGGCAGTGCGGCTGCGTTTGGTGCGGTTTGGCAAAGTCGTTCTGCACCAGTTTTTGAAGCGGCAAGTGCATTACTGTATTATATCCTTCGTATTACTCGTTTTCTACCACTTTTTGTCGCATACGCGTTTCAACAAAAAGGCTGAGAACGGCTTCAAACAGTGTGCGCACTCCTACTGGCTGACACGCCCACCGGTCCGCAATGATGAGAACGGTATATATCGGCTGTTCCCCCCCCCCGCAATTCATTGTATAGGCCACATCGCATTCAATAAGCCACTACGATTCTGAATGGAAGTATTAGGTTGGCTAATAAGTAATGGCCGTTTTTTTCAATTGAAAAATTTGTTCGAAAAGTGAAACGTTTTGCAAGCAAGTTATATATCATCTGATAGGAAACTTCTCGTAGTATAAGAATATCAAAAAAGCTTTGGTTGAGGATATAGTTTTTGTGAATTTTTTAGTCGTTGAAGTTGGAAGTGAAGTCGGCGAAAATTAGCATCTTCGACAACTGCCTCTATTTACGTCTACTCGAAGTGCTAAAATCGCTTAAGCTGCTCCATACATTTGGAAAAGGTCGTGCTAGAAGTCTCAGCAAGGGAATCTCAATAGGACGCTTTGGAACTAATTTCAAGAATTTCAAAGTTGGCAACCTTCACCTTGCCAATATTGGGCAGGCTCACGTCTGTTCCACCTGAAATTTCATGCTAATAGTTGAATTAATTGAATTTGAATTGATATTCTAATACTACGAGAAGTTTGCTATTGGAACAAATTTTTCGATTGAAAAAAAAACAGCCACTACGAGAAGTTTCCTATCAGATGATATATAACTTGCTTGCAAAACGTTTCACTTTTCGAACAAATTTTTCAATTGAAAAAAACGGCCATTACTTATTAGCCAACCTAATAGAATGCGTGCCGCATCCCAAAAGGGATTGATCAACGGCAAACACTAAGCTTGTTGGTACTTTCTCTCAATGGGTAAAGTTCTCAATTCTCAATACGGAGTATTACTTTTTTTCGATTCGTGGGAGGTTTTATCTCAGTTCCTCCCATGCTAAAAGTGAAGTCCGTGCTGTATCAGCCCTTTTGGGGATACGGTACGCATTCTCTTCCATTCAGGATCGTAGAGCTTTATTAAGTGCTAAGTGGCCTACATAATGACATGCGATGCCAGCCGCTGTACAAGTTAGTGTTCTTATCCTCCAAGGCAAATCTTGAACCAGTTTATAGTCGAGACCGTTATCCTTTAGCTCTTCTCTTCCACTTTCTTTCTATTTCTATACTTTCTAGGTGATGTTTTGGAGGGAACTCCTATATACGCGGGTTTAAAAATGAAGAAGCAGGGCGTTGAATGTCATACGCGTTTTTCAGGCCGAGCCGTCGTGCCCCACAAATTCGACGTGGGCAAAATGTGGAACGGCATGTGAGCCCAGCTGCGCAAACATGTACGATACGGCTCCTTGCCCAGCAACGTGTGAAAAATCTGCATGCACATGTGCCGACAACTACGTGCGTTATGAAGGGGCGTGCATCTATTGGGGAGATTGCCCTGGTAAGTTGAGCATCAGTTTTTTTTTTGAGTCTCTCACCCACTCATCTGACATTAAGCTGAAAGGGAATGATTTGAAATTGAAGACGAATCATTCACTCCCTTCCGTGGATCCTAGTCCGAGGTGAACCAGGATCCTCAGCTGCAGTAGTGCCATCTCTTCGGCTCGAAAGTCCTTGGGAACAGGCCTAGTGCAGTTATCGTCAATGAAAAGACCGCGGTGCGCGGAGTGTTGAGGCCAAACCCAACAGATTTGATTCCTTCTATTTTTTGGAAGGTAAGTTTGAGGCAGGGATGCAAATTCGGCAAATTTCCAATGCAAATGGGGGAAATACCATCAAGGGAAAAGATTTTTTTCTGTTACGAATGGTAGAGGGTGTTGTACGAGTGTTGCTGAAATGGCCTTATAACTTTAGTGGGTGGTCCTGACGTGTCTAATTCTATGAGCATTGAAAAACTTAATGCGACCACGACGAACTTTTTCTTGAACAACTCGTCTTACGCGATCATCCTGTTAAATCCATCTCCCACATCTCGTAATGCTAAATTGCGTTTAGACGGATATTCCAAGATAGAATGGGGTAGTGAGCGATCACATAAGAGAGGGCCATCAAGAATTCCTTCTGGAGCCACTATTTCCTCGGCCTTGAAGATGGGCCACGTTTCGCGTTTTTTCCCGAGCAATAGGAGCAATAGGATTGTATAGGCGGTTCATTGAAGAAGTGAGGAACAATGACAGAAATTCTTTGTTTTCTGAGAAAAGTCGGGCGCAGTTCGGCGACGGGGAGGGGTATTTTGCTCATCAGTGCTTCACTAGTTCCGGTTTACAAGTCTCACTCTGGTGAAACCTGTGAACTCTTGTGAAGCTGGAGCAAGCTCGTCTAGCCACCATGGTAACCTGTCAACTCAATGCCCCCCCCCCCTCCATCGCCGAACCGCGCCGAAAAGTCATTCAACTTGGCCATCATGGCATCGGTTATTTTTCGAGACTATGTGGTAGTCGTACTTGAATCACTTCGGCTTAGCACTTGCATGACCTAATAAAGGTATGCTCTAGTTCGCTGCGGATGAAGGGGCGTGCCAGGTAGTATGAGCGTGCCAAAACCATTCTCTACCACTTGGTGAAGCGCGTATGCGACAACAATTGCTAGAAAACGGCTGATACAAACGTTATGATACAGTCTTGTCGCTTGCTCGCTTCAATAATTGTTGGAAGACGGATTCGGCACCGCGCCAATTTCATCCCGCCTGACACGCCCCTTCGTCCGCAACGAACTAGATTATATGAACAGTCGTTTTATCGGGGCACAGTTTCGAGAAGTTGAACCTTTCTAAAAAATTAGGAAAGCTTGTCTAGCACAGGCTGTGGACATAGTCCCAACTGCAGATCTCTGTGTCCACCACCAGAGGCGAACATTGCCACGAGTAAATACAGATGGAAGATAATTCCTCAGAACTGGAATATCTGAAAGTGTCCCTTGCAGTTGATGGATGACATCGGGTTATCAAAATGAGGTGTATGTGCGTGTGAAAATCATGTGGTCGAATACTGAACACTAACATGTAGCTGGCGTAAGGCATCGTTCAGACTTTGCGTCAACGCGAACGACGCGCAGTAACGCGTTACAATTGCAAAAGCGCATCAAGGATATGGATGCGAATGCAGCCGCAGGCGCGAGTAGATCGGCGCCGCTCGCTCATATTGAGACAATTTGGGGGAACGTACGCAGTCTGGTATCGGAACCGGGCGGCGTTCACAAGGGCGGCGTCAACGCGCGCTACAGCGCGTCGTCGCGAGGTCTTAACGTTGCCTCAAAGTTTGGCTGTTCATATGTATCTTTCTCTGCTCCAATGTAGGTCTTGTAGAAGTCAACTCGTGAAATTGCCTCCTCATCGGGTATGAATCTTTTGTTCAGAAGAAGGTCATAATCATTGCGGATCTAAAACCTAATATATGATAACCAGGCTGAATTTCCTTTTTCAGATATCGACAGCCATTTCCACAGCGATTCCTCATCGAACCATACCACCGAGATCATGCATGTGCCATCCGTTTCTGGTGAGTCGTCATAGTGCATCTCGCCAGTTCTGAAGGCAGCTTCCCTACAATAAAAGCTTTATATTCGTGACCCTGTACCTAAAGAATTTGGTTTCAGTCGATTTACCAGTGCAGACCCGAATAGCCTCAACGACGACATCGACGACGTCCAGCACGGAAGGCCTGAGATGCGCCGTGAATGAGACGGTTG